AAGGCAAACGACTACGCCTCGCGCTCGGCGAAGGTGCGCATGATCATGGGGAATGAGGCCTTCTTCGCGGCTCACCAGTATGTTTTTTCTCAGCACGGGGTGACATGCACACCAGACCAGGAGTCCTTCCTGGCGCAGGAGGTCTTGTCCCAATCCAATGCTTACATTACATGGTCCTCGGTATGGAGACAGAATACAACATAGAATTGCGGTGTAGCTACCTCGCAGCAGGCTAGACACGCTGCTTCAACGAACACGTTCCCACGTATCATCCATATTTTGTTCTGAAGGGGAAGGTCAGCGACCGGGTTTCCCGGTTATGGTGGAGAGAGTATCCAACAATCTCAGCAAGCCGCTCGTCAGTCTATTGACGGCCTGGCTAAAGAACAAACGTTACGAAATGATACGTTTTTCTCGCCGCCGCATGTATGAATGTGCTCCCGGGTGGTCCCTAATTCTCTCGCTCGCACCCGGTCCTCTCTCTCCTCTTCGAATCGATCATCATATCAGAAAATCGGTATCGCCTCGGAGCTGAGGTGCATGTTCGTCGCCAGCGTCGCCGTGCAAGAATGTTCAAGACCAAGAGTACTAGGCTCCCGGCAAACCAGTGCCCGCCTCCTGGTTGTCAATCTGTGGTGGGAGAGGTATGTATTCCCCATCGAGTGAAGGAAGTCCACTCTCTCTACAGACTACTGTAGACTTAGAAACAATGCCCTTGCCATTGGCGTGGTTTCAGGTGCTACAATTCAGACCTTGGATTCCAGCCGCCTCGACGTGATTGTCCCCAAACAAACCTGAGAAACGCGCACTGCCCCCCTTTCCGTGGCTCAAAACTCCGTGTTCTCCGCCCCGTTACATTGAAAGCAAGAGCTTGTCGTAGTCGGGAGTCTCTTCGTACTCCAAGCTGTACACAGCCGTGGTTGTCCAGGCTGCAGCGCTTTCATTCTCGCGCTGTTTCGCGGTTGCGGGAGTCGAGGTTGCGCTCCTGATCATGTGTCTGTGTGTGTACTAAATAGTGGTTCACACAATATTACCGTATACGACAAAAGATGACACACCCCCTGGACCGATCTTCAAAGCTCGGTTACGCGACGGCGAAGAAAATGCATAAATACATTCTCAGATAGCTCTCAATGAGATTGCTTCAATGCCGCTTTTTTCGGCGCTATGACTCGTTCTGCTGTTGAGAAATCGAGCCTCGAAAATCGGTCCGGGGGGTGTGTTATTTTGCGTCGTATACGGTAGTCTACTGGAAAAACGTGATCAGTAGATTTGTCATGACAGCATCGACGTCAGAATGTGTAGGTTGGAACTACCAACGTCTCGCTCGGCCTGGTCTCCCAGCGTTGAGCGGAAATCCACGAGGTGACATGCATACACGAACTCGTGACGAGGTCACCCCAAGACAATCGCTGTAAGTCAAGCCAGGGTGATTTGGCGCGCTGCATTTTCCCGCCGGTCCTGTGTTTTGCGGGACACGTTCGAGCATCACGAGGTCTCCCTCATCCGCAGATTGGAGGTGGCGTCGGTTGATTTGGATTCCATGACTTGCGTGTTGTTTATCGCTGAATATCTGAGGTAGATGACATAATAGCCGCAGCGTTAGCCCAAATGCCACCCGCCCAACCTCGGTCATCGCTCGGTCAGGTGGGCCAAGGGCTGAACTTCGACGAGTTCGTGGTGTACAATGAGGAGGCCGCTCTGCCAACTCACCTCATCGTGTATGCTCTTCGGCACTAACTACGAGGAGACCGAATCTGCGAGGAGCGTCGTGTACAAGTAGTCCTGATTGTACGGTGCACGTCGAACACCAGGAGGGACGGTGGTGCATTATCTGCGGTTGCGAGGGCGCGGCTCGCCTTCACCACCCATGTTGGGGTTTCGGTTATGAGACAACAACCGTCCAAGGCTTTTGGTGCCATGATCGATCGGAATTATCTTCCTACCCGATGCTGTTGCATTGCGAAGGACTTGTTTTGCAGGAGACGTCGGACACGCGCGTCGGTGTTGGTGCTCGTGTAGGTGTCCTGGTTGGGTGGGGCGTGCATGTCCCACGGGCGTCTGTACGGTTTCACTCCATCGCGATTTCCGGCCGTGGCGCGTGCATGAATCTCCGCCAATCGCTGCACGAAAATGCTGGAACTTGTTCGGCGATTTGGATACTTTATGATGTAACGTTCCTTCACAAGACTGCTGTTGTTCGACTGACTGGCGTGGTTGTACAGTAGAACCACAGACGTGTGGGAATGCGGCAGGGGCTAGCACCCTCGGGGAGTGACACGTGTCATGGTGCAAGCAAGCCCCATGACATTGAAAAACCGAGACGAGAGAGATAAGAGTTGTGATTTGTGTATATACTTGGACAATGTAAAGATACACGTGAGCTCAACCCAATTGCATCCCCGAGCTACGACGGACTACACTTATCCTGTCAAGTTTCGACGGAACATGATGAGCGTTTGCGAAAAAAACCGAGAGAGAGCCACAACCAATCGCGGCCGGCCACCGGCGGCCTGTTCGAAAAGGCCACAACAAACAATCCCCGTTGAGGGTACGTTATGCACGATTACTCTCAGAGAGGAGGGAATCGCAGCGTCGATTTGGGACAACCACCAGCTCTCGCCATGCGGTGGTTCGCCTTCCACCTGCACAATTATCCAGCTTACTCTCTGTATCTGTCGCTTCATTCTCGACAGACGCCAAGTTCGAGATTTCATCACGCAGCATATCTTTCTCCAGACATACGTACGCATGAAACGTGTTCTCCGATGAAGAAAAGACCTACATGTACCTGTAGGAGAGCTCCGCTGGTTTTGTGCTCGTCCGACACCTCTCCGACGAGCAGGATGACGATGAAAGTGATGGCCCCGTGGGCGCAGCGGGATGATGAAGGTGCTAAGAAAATGTTGTTCCGCTTCCGCATGGCCCGGAGAAAAAAAAAAAACTTCGATATTTTTACACCAACCTTATATTATCCGTTCCTTCCTCTCACATAGACTCGAAAACGCCGAGCTCAACTACTTTTCGATTTTGTCCACCGTTTTCGTCATCTGCCGTCCATCCCAAGGTCTCCCAGCAGATCCGCAGGTAACGTTCAACCGCCGTCTCTCCTCCGCTCGGACGGTACCGCTGTAAGCAGTATTCTACAGTAGTAGTAGGATGTCCGATGTACAACGGGGTATGCTACTGCGGATGACTGAATGGTGATGGCACTCCACATGCTCGCGACTCGGGGCAACTCAAAGGCATACGCGTCGTGACAGCGAGACAGCCACGACGACCATACAGCAGCAGCAGCCGCGCACGTACATGGTTCGGGATGATAGAGTTGCCTGCAGTGGCACGAATTGAGCGCTTCGTATCATCCCACTCACGCACGGCTGTAGCAGGTACAACAGTACGTACAAGCTCGAGAATGGAAAACCGGCAACCGGGGCAAATCCCCACTTTTATTAGTTATGCAGACTAGATCTCGACACTTTATTTTTTTGAGTGAACTATGACCCAACGAATCCTAACTTTTTGCGTTGGCCTCGGGACTACTGGTCATGAAACCAGGTGTCGCGCGCCTGCGGTCCTGATTGATGACCGATCTGCAAGAAACCGGCTCTATGTCCTCGGGCTTCTCCTCCCGATGGTGCTTGTTGTTGGGGTGTTTGCTGTGCAAGACCGACTCTATTCTGCTGTATCTGTTTGATACGGTATTGTGAAGGCGTTCTGTTTTACTGTAACCGTCAGGTGCAGACAGTCCAGGCGTCTGTGTGTGGATAATAAATCACTCTTTTTGTTTTCTCTACCAAGCCTCTACCACATACGCCAACCAGCGTACTACAGCTGTGGTACCGCCCAACAGGTTATAAGCCACGTATAGCGAGGTAGGGAATCATCTCGAGTCAAATGGCGTCATCAGCGCAACAGCAGTCGTCAAATCATCTGCAGCGCGGATATGTCGCGTTCAGCGGAGAACCCGGCCAGTTTGTCGGTTGGGTCTCGCTTTTCCGTGCGCTGATGTACGAGGCAGACCTAGGTCGGGTCATGTCTGGAGCGGAGAAGGCTCCCACGGTGGCGGAGGAGAAGATGACCATCAATCGAGAGCAGACGGAGGCTACGGTGTTGTTTGAGGATAGCACTGCTGCCGTATCGACTATTGAATCGAACAAAGTAACGCAGAAAACGAAGCACATCGATGTCAAGTATCACCACGTAAGGTCGCTGATCGTTAACAAGGTAGTGGAGGTAAAGAAAATCGACACCAACCTCCAGAAGGCTGACATGTTGACCAAGAACCTAGGAACGGTTAAGTTTCTCAACAACCGTCGCCAGCTTCTAGGAATGTAGTCACCTCCCCTCTTCGTAATCTTAAGGGTTGAATGTTGAAGGAAACTCGGGAGATCTGTGTAAGAGGAATGTTTTCGCTGC